AGTGTTGTTTTCATCTGCATCTCTCGAATGACCAGTGATGTGGAACATTTTTTCATATATTTTCTTGCTGCTTTTACTTCTTTGTGTGAGAAATGTCTGTTCATTTCGGATGCCCATTTTTGGATCGGGTCTTTATATTTGGGGGGACTGATTGTTTTGAGTTCTTTATATATCCTTGATAATAGTCCTTTGTCTGAGGTACAGCTGGTAAAAATTTTTTCCCACATTGTAGATTGTCTCTTAGTTCTGCTACTGGTTTCTTTTGAAGTACAGAAGCTTTTTAGTAAGATGAGATCCCAGTTGTTGATTCTTTCTGCTAGTTCCCGTGCTACTGAGGATTTGTTCATAAAGTCTTTTCCTATACCAATATATTGGTAATTTTTGACGAATCCATATTTGCTCTATTATATTTAGTATTTCATCTATCCAAAGATGTGCGTGTCTTGGCCCATTAAGACACAGAAATCATTTAGCTCAAAGAATCTTAAATTTTATTAATCACAGTGCAACAGAATTGAATATCCTTCCTAAGCCAAATTCAGATTGGGAGGCTCACAGAGATAATCCAAGTGCCAATGTTTCCTGTTATCTACAGTCTTCCCCGGCCACATGGTACCCCACTAAAGCAGCAGCAGAACTTATTGCTAACATCTAGAGGATTTTATTATACAAAAAGGCATCGTACCTAGTACACTGCTATTTTCTTTAACATTTCACATTACTCAAAACTTCCTGTTAGCAGCTAGGCTCCAAGAGAAGTTTTAGGTAACAGCAAAGTAATTAAAGGGAAATTTATGGGTTACAACCTTGTTCCAGGCTATGCTGTAGGGAAGCAGTGAAGAAAGGAGCGGATGAACACAGCTGAGTTCACCCCCACTGCTTGACCATCAGCCCTCCTTCAAGACCTCTGTAGTAACAGTTGTGCTTCTCATAACCAGACCATGATCACAAACAATCTGTTGAAATCTGGCTCTTAGCTAGCATGCAAGGCTATGGGAATGATCCCCAGCACCCCCAGCACTTCTGTTGGAAGTTTGAAACTGTTCACTAAACAGACTAACCTTACTTCAGGTTCTTGTTTTGTGCCATCAATCTCTGCGGCAGTCTGATGAAACTATAGGTTTTTTTGGGTTTTTTTTAATAATGCTTTTAAAGCCATAAAACATACAGGATTACAAAGAAAGCCAACAGAAAAATAACTCAAAACTTTAGAAATTAGTACAAATGGCATGACAAAATTCTTAATAAACAATAGAAGAATTTGTAGAAACACAGAAGCTGCTGATGGAAATGTAACTGATATAACCACTTAGAGGGCAAGTTGAAAATATCCTGAAAAACTGTATTTCCACAAACCCGAGCTTATTCTTGATAAAATTTCCCCAAAGGAGCCTAAGAGGACGCTGTCACTGCTGTTAGAGAAAAACTGGATCAATTATAATATCCACCTGTAGAAAAGTCATGTCATGTTTCTCCAGGTGAAGACACTTGTGCCATCAAAATAAATGAACCAGGGCCAGAGATTTAGTTCAGTGGTTCCGCAAACTGCCTCACAAGCACAAGGACCTAAGTTCAATCCTCTGTACCAAAAAAAAACCAAGAATGTAACATAAATGAACCAGACATATGTAAAAAAGAAAAAATTCAGTGCAAGATATAATTTTCCCACCATTTCCTGGATGCCCCAACTCACCTCCACTCACCGAAGCACACACTTCACACACAGTTTTTCTCAGAGAATTTTAATGCCAAAAATGACAGCAGACATTTGGCCTTCAGAGGAATCTAACATGAATCTTCTAGCCTCTTCAACAGAATGTAATATACACAAGGGAATATATTTTGGCTTCACAGATTATGTGGTCAAACTGCAAGTATCTAACATAGTTAGGCTTCCAGAATATATGAGTTAGGTTGAATCCCAAACACAGGCTTCACGGAATATGACTAAAAACACTTATTTTCCAGTGACCCTGCTTCATATACTTTTGTCCTCAGTTTAAAATTTTAAACTGTTTGAATCAAAAGAACTAGTAATAGGGCCTGGGATGTAGCTTAGTGGCACTGTGCCTGGCAAGCACAAGGTCCTGAGTTCAATCCCTGGAGAGAGACACACACACACACACACACAACTAGTAATAGAAACAAGCCCAAATTGGACGTTGGAAAGGAGGCAGCTAAAAACCTTCAGCCAAGGAAGAAAAACCTGCCCACTGAGGACTTTATGTGGAAACATACATTATTTAGCAGATGGAGAAATAGCTGATACTTAGCAATTACAGCAAAACACCACATGAGCAATCTTTAATATTTTTAGGAAATATTATCAATGCAAAAACAGGTGACCTCTCTCAACTTCCTATAATAAATGCTCCCAGTTAGAATTCAGAGGATTTTTCTGTTATAGCTCAATCACTGGTAACTATCTTCACACCAAAACAATTAATAGTATTCTCTTTTATCCAAGGCTTCCACTATGAGTTGATTCCCAACCCTCCTGTCCTTACATATAAAAATTACCAAGATAAATGAATGACCTGTCATCATCTTCCAAGTATCCCTGAGCTCTTCACACCCTGCAGAACTGGTTCCAGATCTGACTCTCCTAGACTTATTTGCCAAGAGCTCTGCATGCTTTTAAAATTAGCACCCAAAAGTTGTATCATTTAGAATCTGCCAATTACCTAGATTCACCCTGAATAATGTTTTTTACTATAAACTTGGATTCCTTAAAGCACACCACAGTATCAAAACTAAGATGTTTCATGTTTCAAATACGATTTGATAGATCAGTTAATAAAATATTAAAATCATAAATTAAACTTAGAATTTAAAAAACAGCACAATGTGAGTGTTGTTTCGTGGACTTCATTCTCAACAGATGCATTTGCAGCTTACACTGATGTCCCATTAGTTCCTGTGGACGTTTTCATTTTGACCTCTGTTTATAACGGATAACTGGGTTTTCAGGGGTATGGATCATAGTTGTATAATTCACAGCAGGAAAATATCCATCAATGAGATCAAATTCATATAAACGAAACAGAGTGGACCAAATTGTCTTAATTTGAACATAGGCAAAATTTTCCCCAATACAACGATGTCGCCCTGTTAAAAAAAAAAAAAGGCTTTTCATCAGAAACTTATTTAAATTCTTTCCTACCTATTTCAACCTGGATTTGATCATTTGCTTATCTACAATTCAGATGAACAGCAGATGTATGTCTTAAATCTTTTACATAAAATAAAAACATAAATGGCTAACTTAAAGCCCCATAGTATTTTCAGTATTTATAAGAAAACAGCACTTGCTTCATCATGGTGATTTTTTTCCAGTGACTTTTTGAAATTTAACAACTACCTGGGTTTCAATCATGAGATGGTATTTTAGTTTAGGAATGTACTAGAACATTCTCAGTTCCTTTCCCAAAAGAATCCTAGTTAAGTCGTTATAAACCTTCCAATCAAACCCTGAAGCTGAATATGGTGGCATGCACACTTGTAATCCCAGCTCTTGGAGGCTGAGGCAGAAAGATCACTGCAAGCTGGAGGCCAGCCTGGACTCCATAGCAAAACTTTGTCTCAAAATATAAAGTAAAATAAATGGCAGAGACAAAGAGGAGAACAAATGGAAAAAAATAAAAACCTTAAAATGCTGCTATGGGGGGAAAAAGATTTAGTAAACTCAAAATAACATTTGCTAGTGTCAAAATTTGAAATGTCATACAAGAGCTGACAAGCTAATTTTAAATGCATAGGGAGATAAAAAAGATCCAGCATACTCAATCTTAAAAATAGAGTATATTGGAGGAATTAAACTGACTATATTTGACTTTCAGACTAACAGTACAGCAACAGTGTGATATTGGATAAGGATCAAGAAATACACTGATGGGACACAGCAGTGCCCAGAAATATTTTCATGGTTATCTGATTTTTTTTTGACAGTGATAAGAAAATAACATCTTTTCAACATACAGTAAAAGAAAAACTAGATAATGCAAAAGACAAACAACTTCAATTTCTAGCTCATGCCGTACTCAATTCAAGATGATCACAAATGCTAAAATTCAAGAGGATCACAAATGCTAAAACCAAGTTTTAGTAGAACAGACCACTTCCTAAGCTGGAGCTACCCAAAGTCAGGACTAGACAGCAATCACCATTTTAAAAGTTGCTAACTAAAGTTGCTCACTTGTCAAAACGCACTGAATGGTGACTTAAGATTTGAATATTTCACCAGGGATTTAGCTCAGTGGTTTGGTGGCCTGCCTTGCAAGCGCAAAGACCCAAGTTCAATTCCCCGGTACCAAAAAAAAAAAAAGATTTGAACATTTTGTTGTAAAATCTACAAGTATATCAAAACAATAAAAACTAATGCTAAATATGCCACATTTAAGAGGGACATTTACACACTGATCCACATTCAAATACATCTACACAAACATCTGGTTTATAAGAAAATAAAGGGTTATTTTTAATAGCAAAAAATCATATCTAACTGAATCAACAAAAGATTTGGTAAATTCTGATGATTAACAAAATTAGTATTATGAAAACAGATGAACTAAAGCTATATGCACCAGTACAGATAAACAGCAACACTACAAAGTGAAAGGCGTGGCCGGCACACAGCTATGGTCTCAGCTACTCAGGAGGCTGAGATGACAGAAGTGCTTAACCCCAGGAGTTTGAACCTAGCCTGGGTAACATAGTAAGCTTTGTCTCTCTAAAAAATAACTATTGGAGAAACTGTGATTACTTAACCTCTTTTTTTTTTTGAGACAGGGTCTCACTATGTAATTGAGACTAACCTGGAATTCACTATGTAGCCCAGGCTGGTCTCGAACTCACAGTGATCAATGATCATCCTGCCTCAGCCTCCCAAGAGCTGGGATTATAGGCGTGTGCCACCATGCCCGGGTACTTAACGTATTTTAAATTCTACGGCCTCCTCCCAAATCCAAATCCATCCTGAATCTCAGAATACAAATTTATTTGGAAACAGGGTCTTTATATACATAATTAAAGTGAGGTCACACTGACAGAGTAGGCCTTGGATCCAATGACCAACGGTTCCCTTAAAGCATGGCCATGTGAAGACACAAAGCAAAGAGGGAGAGCCTGGTGAAAATAGATGCAGTAATCATAGCCAAAGCAAAAGATACTTGCAAATAAAATTCACATGGATTATTTTGACAGGGACAAATGTTACCAGAACAAACATTTCAAACCAAAAATGTAATCATCTCACCAGCTCCAAATGGTACATAGGCAAACTTCTCTCCTGATGCTGGGTTATCACGTAAATAACGATCAGGACTGAAGTCCAGACGTTGTACCCAGGAGTCTTTAAGTCTCTGATTGACAGTGGGAGAAACACACACCTGATGTCCTGGAGGAATGGTAAACCCTGCCACAGTCTACAGATAAAAGCAACACACTGCATTAGAGACTTTTACAATGTTACCGAATAATGAGGTCACTGTGGAATAAAGAGCCACACATACATTTAAAAATCTAAACTGGGTGTGGTGGTTCACCCCTGTAATTCCAACACTGGAGGAGGCAGGCGGGAGTTCAAGGCCTGGATTTCAAGGCCACTTTGAGCTACATAGTGAGCCAGCCTGAAAACTCCACAGTGAGACCCTGTCTCAAAAAAAAATCTAGCAGGATGACAAGCCAGCTAAAAAATTATTCAAATCATCTCCAACTAAATTAACCTTGAGTTAGAAGTATATACACAAATGCCTCAGAGGTAGGGTAGAATTTCAGGGAGCCTTTCACTATCTCATTTAAATACTTTGTATGTTACAATTTTTTTATAATGAAATGTTATTTTTCAAAAAGAAAAATGTCAATTTTAAAATGACATTTAAAGAACTCAATTGTTAAATGAAAGAGAATAGCATTGAAGATAAACATATATACTATCTGCCATTATGTAAATGTTCATATATTTAGTATAAAATTTATAATTATGTAGAATTTTTAATTTAAGAAATTCTCTTTAAAACCATTATATGTCTTAATTTTGATCAATAAAAACTAAGCACAGAGGAGCAATCTAAGCAAGACACTTACCTGAGGAGTTTTGGCCATTCTCATCATGGTCATTATAGGAGGCCTAAGTCTTAATGTTTCTTTTATGCAGCGATCAAGTAAATTTAGATCCTTGAGCTAAAAAGAAAAGGTATTTCCTGATTCGTTACAAATTCCTAATTTATTCGACAGTAAAAAAATTAACATTTTGGTTAGTATAAAACAGGTTACATTCTAGGCCGGGAATTAGGTTCAGTGGTTCCGCTGCCTGCCTTGCAAGCATAAGGTCCTGAGTTCGATCCCCGGTACCATAAATAAATACATACATACATACATACATACATACAGGTTACATTCTAGATGAAAAAGCAAGACAACTGGCTCAAAGTGGCTGAGATTAACCATGTACTACCATGTCAAAAGTTAACAAAGGAAAAAAGGAAGGCAAGATAACAGGAAGAGAGGCAAACACCCTAAAGAACAGCAAGGGAAGGAAAAAGATTCACTCCTCCAAAAAACAAAAGTTTAGAAAAATCATCAATGTCAACTTTTTCAATACTCTGGAAAATCAAAGGCTTTTAACAATCTAAAGCAGAGTTGATTTTGGTGAGAAAAGCAAGGTTGATAGTAGTGTAAAAGCTAAAAAGTATATCCTAAATTTTTGGATCTAGTGTAAAAATCTGCAACAAAGTATTAGCAAAAAAAAAAATTAGCAAATACAAAAAGGTAAGAAAGGGAGGGAAGGAAGTAGGGAGGCAGGGAAGCAAAAGGAAGGAAAGAAGGAAAAAAGCAAGGAAGAAAAGAAAGGATGGATTACATACTCTATGATAACAATTTACCCTAGGAATACAAGATCAACATCTGAAAAATCAATGTAATATGCCATTCTAATAAGATCAAAACACACACACACACACACACCCTCAGGAAGAAGTGAGCAGGGTTTGCTTCAAACATGGAATATCAGGTTACAGTGAAGCCTTCTTGTTTCCTTTTCTGCCCAGCAAGCTGGCTGCAGTGTTCACAGATTTCTACACCCTACTACCACCATTCTGTACACACAACTATACATAATTCAGTGGCTTTTACACTTTGTAAGACATACTCACACGTCTGATAAAAGTTTAATGGAAAGAAAAATTGTATTTTAGATAATGTTAAAGGAAATTTCCTAAAACACAGAAAAGCCTAATTTAGGCTAATTATAAAAAAGCTCAATTTGTCCTTTAAAACAGACAAATTAGTCACAGATGCTAAAAATTATAAGCCAGAAATGAAACAAAAAATCCAACAAACCTGGTCATATGTTAAGGGAGGCAGATCCTCGCCACAGACTGTTTTCTGTTCTAAATAACATTTTTCTTGTAGTGCTTTGTCTCTGGCCACAAAGAAGCCTAACCAGGCACTAGTGGTTGAGGACGTGTGCTGCCCTGCCAAAAGCAGTCCAATAAGCATCCCAGCTATTTCATCATCTGTCAGAGGGTGCCCGTCCCTGCAGAGTGAACCACACAGTGACTGAACATTTCAGACACATTGCATGTCTCAACCTGACTACATTTCTCAGGCATAAAAGCCCCTTTCACTTGTACCCCACCCTGTCAGAATCCCCCACCCTGCCTGGGGAAGAGACTGATACTAAAAAACATGATAAGCAAATTGTCACCATGCTTAGTCACTGGCATTCCAGCAAGTAGGTGAGGTCTCAGTAATTTATGTCTCAACAATTTAAATTCCAAAGGTCATAGCTACCAACTTATTTTGTCAAACTCCCTATTTTCTAACTGGAAATATTACTTAACTATGTTTAAATGTGTAATTTCCTACTTTAACTTAATATGTCATATGGACAATACTTACTTGTATGTGGACTCTAGTAAAGTTTGGAGAATATCATCAATTTTTTCTTTTGATTGCCTACGCTTCTGAATTGCCTTATAGAAAATATTCTTGATCTCTCTATGAGCTCTGTCTCTGCGTCTGAAATTTAAACATAAAAATTATTTTTTAAAAAAATAATACTTTCTAGGATTAAATTCATTCTGAAAACCAGGACCTAGCTTAAGGCAACCTTATTTAACTAATTTTAATAGTCCTAAATTAATTAACAAAAACCAGAACCAGGTAGGCATATAGTGCAAATGCTACTGCCAAGTTCAAGGCCAGCCTGGATAACAAATTATCTCAAAATAAAAAATAAAAAAGAGCCTGGGGATGTAGCTCAGTGGTGGAGCACTTACCTAGCATGTGTGATACCCTAGGTTCAATGGCCAGTACAACAAAACAATAAAAATCTAGAACCAAAAAAAACTCCTAAAAATCTTAAGAATTTCCAGGAAAAAGAATTTCTGGGTTGCGGGGGAACGGAACTCTTCTTCTCCACTGTTGGTAGGAGTGCAGACTGGTGCAACCACTGTGGAAATCAGTATGGAGATACCTCAACAAACTAGGATTGGAGGTCCCAATTTTATCCTGTATTCCACTAATGCGTATCTTCCCAAAAGAATTAAAGCATCATACCACAGCGATATATGCACACTCATGTTTATAGCGGCCCAGTATGTAATAGCTAAAACTCAGAAACAGCCCAAATGCCCATCAACTGGTGACTGGAAAAAGATTTTTTTTAATAAAATGGAGTACTACTCAGCCATAAAGAATGATAGACTAGAGACATTTATAGCTAAATGGATGGACCTTTCGGTGATTATTCTTAAATGAAATAAATAGAACACAAACGTGTAAATACCAAATAGTTTCTCCAGTGTGAGAAACTGAAAGTGTAAGTGAGGACCAAAATGTGTAATAGATAATGTGAAATAAGAAGAAAGGTCCAAAGGGGAAGGGGAAGTAGGGAGGGGCAGTAGGAGAAAGAAAAGAAGGTAAACAAAGAATGATGAGAAAAGGAGGAAAAAGGTGGAAGGGAGGGAGTGGGAATGGGAAAAAAAGTAGAACCTATATATATATCATGTAAGGTACAAATCCCCAGTGATGAATGTGATCATAATATATACCTTAAATGTACCAATTAATTTTTTAAAAAGAATTTCCAATTTTTGGGTGCAAAACCAATGTTATCATATACTTTATATCTCAGATTCTTAACACACTGTCTTCTAACTGCAGGCCCACAACAAGCACAAAATTCCTTCAGAAGTATCTTTCAATTCATCAGAAAGTAAATTACTCTTCTAAAAAATGGAAACAAAATCTTTGTCAATAGGGAAGGGTGAAGGGGGTGAAGGGAGGGCAGGGGTATGGGGAAAAAATAAGAACCAAGACCTGTCTTGTAAAGGTACAAGATCCCAAAGATAAATGTAACTATTGTTACAATGTTTCCAATGGATGTGATTCAGTGAAGATTTAGAAAGCATACTAATGGGCAAGACACTCGGTTATATGTCATGTCCTAAAAGCAGTATTTCTGTGCATGAAGGACAGACAGTCTCTGCCCTTAAGTAAATCATGGAACACTTAGCAAAGTGACAAAGAGAAACTTAAATAAAGGCACAAATATTCAAAAATACATATTATAAGGTCATTAAAGACTTTCAAACAAGTGTTTAAAGGAGGGCTTCCACAGATTTTTCCTGAGTATAAAGAATACAAGAGGTAAGTAAGCTTTAAAATACTAGAATAAACAACAAATCAGTTTTAGTTTTAATAAACTAAAACTTACTTCAAATAAGCTCACTATATAGTGAAAACCTGTTTTAAGTTCTTATAAAATAATGGGAGTTCATGAACTCCCCAAATTTGACTACATACCAACACAGCAGTACATTATTATCTTGTAATCCATACCTGAAACTAGGCAGAGGCAGCCAACCCGGCAATAGCCAGGCTGCATGGCTAAAACCTCCATCCAGATCTGCATACAACTGTGCCACCTGCTCATTGAGTTGACTTCTGATTTCTTTTCCATGTAAACAATGGCTAGCTGTTAAAATTATGAGCTCAGAAAGAGCTTCAAACAAATCTAGGGAAGAGAAAGGTCACTCATTATTTCCAAAAAGTCTTAAGCAATACTGTTTTGTTGAATATATACAAGATAGTGAGAGAAACTGAGAATTAAAAACTAAAGAACAAACAAGATCCTATTCTTCAAAACATCTACAGACAGATTTATGGCTGTACATGCAGAACACTGAAGTCAGTAGACTAGATCATAGGACAAACTGTCCTCTGGACAGCCACAACAGACAACACAAAGGCATCTCTAAACCTCGTGGGCTCCTCTTTACCTTAAGAGGATAATACAGATAAAATGGAGATAAAAATGAGCAGGACTGTTTGATTTTCAGGTCACAGCACATCAGAAAAAAAATTATTTAGTGCCTATGAAGATAAAGAAAGGGGAACTTCCTAAAATATGACAGTTCAAGTGCAGAAGATTAAGACTAAAACCTGAAGTTTGGGCAATATATAAAAAAAAATTATAATCATCAATTAGAATATTCCAACACTGGCTAAAGATGAATCTAGCAAGCACACTTTGGTGATACTTAAAAGTCTTTTTTTTTTTTTTTTTTTTTTTTTTT